GTTGTGAACACCTTAATTTAGGAGTTAAAAGAAAACAAAACTTAATACTGTTTCTTTTCCCTTTTCTTCTTGCTGTAACAATCCATTTTGCCCTGAGGCAATGAAGATGCTGCTATCTGACCAGGGAAAGAGTCAAGAAATTCAGACAATCACAACGATTAATATTTTAAAAGCTTAGCATACTGCTTAGAATCAATGGATACCTTTCATAAATCCATTGATAGTATCAAGTTATTTAACCAGTGCCCACTCTTTGGTTAAAATGTGTGGTAAATCTGTGGAGGGATGTCTCTTCTTATTTTACACAGTTTGAGAGGGAAGAAAGCATGAGGAACCATCCTCTGAACAGCCATTTCATTCTCTCACCCAGGGAAATGTTTGGGGAGTTGTAGGCATTCCCTTTATGTCAGAAAACTGTTGGGTCACTGTGTGTGTCTGTCCATGGGAAGTGGTCAGTGTGTGAAGGATGTCACCTAGGAGGCACAGATTCATCATAAAGCTCAGTATAATGGTAATGAAAGACATATTTCGAAGGCAAAACAGAAGACACTCAGAGAAGAGTCCTATCAGGATCCTTCATTCCTATTCCCCTTGGTCTCTCTTCTGCTAACTTTGACTTGGAGGTAGTAAAAATGAAGTACAGAGATGCCAGAAAGCACTGGTCTCCAATTTTTTGATCAATGAAAGGTAGATTGGCTTTCCTTAGATCTCGAATTGTCTTTGGATCTTGGGTCATTGCATTGGTGATGTAAACAGGCTTTCTGAGGAAATCCTCTGTCAGCTTTTCTGAAGATGTTCCAGTGGCCTCTAGGCTGATTCTGAGTCAATGATGGATGAAAATTTGGAGCCGTTGTTTCTTATGCCCGTTTAACTTGCATGGAGCAGATCAAATTGAGCTCTCTGACAGCTAGACTTTTATTTTTTGAACATTAGAGCCTATTTATAGCAATGTCACAGAATTAAAAAAAAAAAATTGTATTATTATCTATCAATCTATCACAGCTGCTAACTTGGGAAATGAATGGGTGAGCTCCGGTGTGCTGCCCTGGGCAACTGCTCTGTCCCAAGGAATCCCGAGGGGCCTGGACAAATCCAAAGCAAAGCTCCTCACTGGGTTTGTCAACACTGTTGCCCAAGAAACTCAGATAAATTCATCATAAGAGAAGCCAATAACTCAAACGATGAGGGTTTGGAAAAGAGAAAGGTAGAAATTTATTTCGGGTGCCAGCAGCTGGAGGAGGTGGCAGGTTCAAGTCTTAACAAGTGACCTCTCCACTGGTAAGATGGACACCCAGAGTTTTATAAGGAAAGATTAGGGGCAAGGGGTTACATGCAAGAGAGCAGGCAGAGAGTGCGTGATCATGGGCGGGGGGTAGTAGGTGTTCAGCCCATGGTCATGGGCAGGGAAGGGGTCCTGTGGGGTGAAGTCTTCTAGGCATTCCATTGCTATCAGGGCTTTGTGGTCTGGTGGTTAGAATGTTTAAAGAGTGTGGTAAGAAATAAGCACAATGGACTTTAGTTAGAGCATGAGTTAAGCTGTCTTGTCTATTTCTGGTTTTAATTGTTGGAGTCTACAGTTGAGCAAGAGGGCTCACTAACAGGATCCCTTATTTTTCATCTCTGGTCCTTCCTGGTGGTAGGTTACTTCTTATGGATATAACTCTGAAGACCTTTGTCCTCTTAATCAAAAAGAGAAAATGGGGTGGAATAGGATGACTCAGAATTCGGCCCTACCTCAGACCACGTAGTTATTCATCTAGAGAGGCGATAAAGAACATTGTTGGATCTTAGCAAGACTGTCTGGAATAATCAAAGAACCTATGTCAAAACAGTCCACCCTGCTGACTTAGCATAGCCTTCTTGTTCTTGCTACTCTGCTTATTGATGTTAGAATACAGGACAGGGTTGAGATTGTTGAGTTCCATTCTTGGATAGCATTCAGAAATAGTGCACTGTCCCAAATAGTTCAGCTTAAAATTTTTCCCTTAAAATTACCTTCATACAAGATTTCTGGGCCCTTTCCACACTTTCCCTGGATGTATCCTTTGCACGTATTGCTCTGGTGTTCAGCACTCCAAGGCATTAGTAGATAGGAACAGATGGGAGGCAAATGAGTTAAATGTGTAGATGTCATATGTGAAAAGTTGCCTTCCTCTATGCATGCTATTTTGCCAGTGCTCCTTCTAAAGAATGGCATCCACAATTTGATAGAACATAGTGGAAAACACTGTGTAATCATGACCCCATTAATCTGGCTATTAAATAGTTTGCATACTGACTGGGTTAAATACACTGACCTGCTAATCTTTACTACTACCAATAGTATGATTAATGGTAATTATACTAATAATGATTATAGCACCTAAATATATTGAGCACATACAATATGAAAAATTTCCTGAGCACCTTTCATGTGATACCTAACTCAGTGAGGGTAGATAATAATAGCAATATACCCTTTACCAAATGAGGATATAATTTACTGAAGGCCACGTATCTCTTGAGTCATGAATCCAGGAATGGTTGTGATATATTACCAAACTCTTACAGAGTATTTATCCTTATTTTTATTTATTTATTTATTTGTGAGAGAGCACAAACAGGGGGAAGGAACAAAGGGAGAGAGAGAAGCAGACTCCCCACTGAGCAGGGAGCCTGATGCAGGCTCAATCCCAGGACCCTGAGATCATGACCTGAGCCGAAGGCAGATGCTTTACTGAATGAGTCACCCAGGCGTCCTTTCCTTATAGTTCTTTCAGTCAGTTAATTTTAGACTTTAAAGTAAATGCTTTTAAAAGCCATGGTGTTTGCATGCCTTACTATATATCTGTGGTCTTTTTATTAGATGATCAGTATTTAACATGCTAAAAGACACTGGTAAATCCAAACATCTAATTCCATCTGATACAAACATGAATTTACTTTACAAGCTGTATGATATAAACATGCATGTTCCTCACCTTACTGAAAAGTTGCATTGAGATGAGAGAAAACATGAAAATAATGGGGGCGTGGCGAGTCCACAGTGTGTTGAAGGCAGGGAGGGTGTGGAGGGAACCACAACAGGAATGGATTTGGGGATGATATGAAGAGTATGGATTCAGATGACAATGAAATTTGAATTAAGGAGCCCACATCCCAGGTACAAGCAAAACATAGGATTCTAAAAAGAAATTTTTTCTAAGGGAACCTCCTAAAGACACCAAAATTAGAAGCAGAAGTGAGCCCATGGCCGACAGCCTGTAAAGTAATCAAAGTTCTTTGGAACCACTAATCTTAACTTGCATAAGAGCTGTTTCCAGTCCACCTCCAGAATAAAGCTGTTGACTACAACTTTTCAGTTTGGGAGGGAAAGCGCAGTGAAGAAGAGTAAAGTTGCTAGGCAGGTTTCTGTCCATTCATTCTCCACAGATAACATTTTCTAGAGATTAGTCACCTCCCCACCTCGCTGGTACTGAGGGGGACACCCTTCTTTCCCTTCTACCTGTAAATGTCTCCTGCTAAAGGGTGGCCTGTCTTCAGTTTTCAGAGTCTCTCATGTGTCCACAATCTCTTAAAAATAACCACCTTAAAATGATCAGTATGCCAAAGAGACATATCTTGAGGTGGCAAAATTTGCTTCCCTAGACCTTCGAAATCCTCAGAACGTTAAAAAAATTTAATAATTTCAAGGTTTTGGTTTTTACTTTTTGGTACATGCTTGAATGAAAACAGGATTTTAAAAGTTGTTATTAAACTTTAATCTTTAAATAACTTTAGCATATTTGAATTCTCTTAAGGCAGTAAGCTCTTCTCAATAAATGACAATGAAAGCTCTGTAGTTAACAGTATTATCAGTATAGAGAGACAGAAGGAAATTTAATTAAAATATTGGCTTTATTGCATGTGTTACCCCCTTGGTTTTCATCATCTATTTTAATTGGAACATTAGCTGTACTTTGTCGATTATTGAAATGTTTGCTTATTGAAGTATTGTATATTAAAATATATTTAAAAGGGATTCTTAACTAGTTGAAATCTGTGATTAATATCTTTTAATATTGGGGAATTTCTGAATTACCCTTGAGGTTGTTAAAAAACAAAAGTTAACTGAGTAAATTTGAGAATCTAATTGGCTTTATTAAATGATTCATGAATCAGGCAGCATCCCATCTAACAAGCAGAGGGGACCTCTGAGGAATTGTACAACACGCAAAGTTTTTATAGGATAAGGGTGGGGGCAAGAAAGTTACTAACAAAAGAAAAGGATTTTCCAGGCAAGGTAGCTATCCCTGAGAGGGAGGAATAGGAGGTCTTATCAGGCAGATCACCTCATCTTCCTTTGGGGGAGGGGGTGATGGAGAGGGCCAATGCGGCAGACACTTTGCCTCTGATAGGAAAATTCCTGACTGCTTAAGGTTAAAACTAAGACTACATTAATGGGTGAAGTTGAAACTGCAGTTAGATGAGCTATTAATCCCCAGTTTGGGGATTCAGCCTAAGTGGTGCCATTTTGGGCCTGTGGTTTTGTAGCTGGGGAATAGGGAAGCAAGAGCACCTGGCTCCAGGGGCCCAAACAGACCACGTTCAGACACTCGCTGCTGACAGATTCTGAAGGCAGAGAAATGAGTGGTGGTGAAACCAGAAAGGAATTTATTTCAGTGAAGCCAACACCTGGAAGACAGTGGACTAGCGTCTCAAAAACTGTGTCCAAAAAGCCAATAATACTTCCAGGTTTACATAGGAAAAAGTGGGGCAAAGTGGGTGGGCACGTGCTGGAGGTTAAATCCATCATTGTCTTGGAGTCAGTTACGGGCAGGGTCTTGCTGGCTCTGGGCAGACTTTATGGCTTGAGGGGTTAGTGTGTGTCTTCTGCCTGGGCCACCCAAGCAGAAAGTTTGAGATCAAAATGGAGACAGCCCAAGTCCTCTTTGTTTTCTTTTTAACAAGGTCATATGTTTTAAACTATTACTCGTTTGTAAACAACTGAAAACAAAATTTTTTTTTTTTTTTGTATGTAGGATTTGGAAATATCTCACCGCGCACAGAAGGGGGAAAAATATTCTGTATCATCTATGCCTTACTGGGAATTCCCCTTTTTGGTTTTTTGTTGGCTGGAGTTGGTGATCAATTAGGGACCATATTTGGAAAAGGAATTGCAAAAGTGGAAGATACGTTTATTGTAAGTATAATAGCCTTTTAAGTACATATGTTGTTTAATTTTTTTAAATAAAACTATCACCTCAAGTACGGTTCATCAAGTTATTGGGTTTTCCATAACCTTTTATATGTACCTTTATTAGCATGTAACTCACTTCGTAGTTATTTTTATACTTAATTTGAATGAGTAAATTAGTACATGGGAAAAATCCAAATATATGCAGAAACAAAGAAGAAATCTGACAATCCTGGGTTCCAATTCCAGACATCTTGTCTTGCTGTATTCTCTTAAGCTAGTTATTTTACCCTGAAATCTCCATTTTGTCATTTATATAATGTGAAAAATGGTACTGGCAATGGAGACATCACTTTGAGAGTTAGAGATAATAAATAAAAGCTTGGGGCACCTGGGTCGCTTGGTCAGTTAAGCGTCCGACTCTTGGTTTTGGCTCGGGTCATGATCTCAGGGTCGTGTGATGGAGCCCCTAGTTGGGCTCCTCCCTCAGGACAGAATCTGCTTAAGATTCTCTCCCTCTTCCTCTCCCCTTCTCCCTCCCCGCCCCACCCCCCGCTTATGTGCATGCACTCTTTCTCTGTCTCTCTCTCTCTCTCTCTCTCAAATAAATAAGTAAATAAAATCTAAAATAAATAAATAAAAGCTTAACATAGCTAGTAAATAACTGACAATACTTTCTCATTTAAAATTTGCTTTGGTACCTTTGTCCATTGCTGGTGGCATTCTAAATTTATATAGCCTTTTTGTGAAGGACATCCTATTTAGCAAACACGATAAAGGTGATCATATAACTTAATTCAGTGATGTCATTGATAGAAACTTATCCAAGGGATATAACTCAGTAGAACCAAAAGTAATATACATGATGTTCGTGGCTATATTATCCTCAATCGAAAAAAATAAGTATCATGACAATGCTTTTATTAGAATGGTAAATGAAAAGTAGTAATAATACCACTATGATTATAAGCTTTTATTCCTGAAGAAAATTACCAAGAAAATAGTTGCATGAGAGGGTAGGATTATAAAGGATATGTTACTACCATCACCTGTATTACAAACACATTTTACCTGCTCTTCAGTAGTCTTTTCATCTTTTCACAAGCGTTTCAACAAGTATTTTACATTTAATTCTACTGATAAAACAAGACTACTGAGTATTGGTTTTCAATTTATAGTTCCAGTTTTTAGCAATAGTTATTTTTTAAGTTCCAAATTCACTCAGCTATTTCTAGAGTTGGAATGGAGTAGGCATGATTATTCTAAAATAGGAGTTTCATCCTGTTCTGGGTAATATACTTTTCTTATATTGATCTTAAAAGTATCTTGTATTTTTATTAATTAAGAGGGAAGATTAGTGGCATCAATGTGGTAATGCTGAATTATGCATTCATTCAACAAAGTTTTTTTGGCTTAAATTTTTTTTTTTTTAACTTGAGTATAGTTGACACACAATGTTACATTAGTTTCAGGTGTACGACTTAGTGATTTGACAAGTTTATGCATTATGCTATGCTCACCGCAAGTGTAGCTACCATCTGGCCCATTGCATTGCTATTACAATATCATTGACTGTTTTTCTTACGTTGTGCCTTTCATTCCCTTGACTTACTCATCCCATAGCCGGAAGTCTGTATCTCCCTCTCCCCTTCACTCATTTTGTCCAGTTCCCCCACTCTCCCCCTTTCCCTCCCCTCGGGCAACCATCAGTTTGTTCTCTACATTTATACTTCTGATTCTGCTTTTTTTTTGTTTATTCATTTGTTTTATTTTTTTTTCCAACAAATTTTTGGGTGCCCACTGGATGCCTGGTAATGTTTTTCATGCTGCATCTACATCGGTGCATAAAACGCATCCCGTACCCTGGTGGTGAATACGTTCCAGTGGTCATGAATATTAATACCAACTACTTAGTCCATGGTTCCGTTTTGTGTATTTTCATATATTTGTAGATTACGTTTGGCCCACCATCAGTACTATGCCTATAGAATAGAAATATTTGAAAAGTTGTTCAGGTAAACAAAGAGTGATGTACCTCTGAAATTGTATTCTCAGAGCAAATGTAATTTATTTTGAAAGCATTTTGCCTCTTGTAAAGCTATGTAAGGGTAAAGTAGCATCATCATTGGCATTGATTGTTTTGAGTTCTTTCTGCTATACCCAATTTTTATAAGACAATTGAACATTAATTATGAAAGGGAAAAAAATAACATCCTCACTTGCTAATTTGCTGAGAATTGTGTTTAAGGTGAGCTTTGCAGGTACGCCAATAATCAATAAATCTCAGTCAGTGTCTCTGTCTCGCTCTCTTCACTCTCATCCTTAGAAGTGGAATGTTAGTCAGACCAAGATTCGCATCATCTCAACGATCATATTTATACTGTTTGGCTGCGTGCTCTTTGTTGCCCTGCCCGCGATCATATTCAAGCACATAGAAGGCTGGAGTGCCCTGGACGCCATTTATTTTGTGGTCATCACTTTAACAACCATTGGATTTGGCGACTACGTTGCAGGTAAGTTTTTCCTGGCACCGACCCTACTTGCCTAGCCCGTGTCCTTTAGTTAGACTTTACACTCGGGTTTGCAGCACAAATGTCTGTCGTAGTTTCCCAGGCCTGCTGTCATGAGCGATGTGCCCCCAAACTGGGTGGCTTTAAACAAGAGAAATCTATTGCCTTACAGAATTTCAAAATCAAGGGGACAGGAGGAACATGGTCCCTCTGAGACTCTAAGTGGCATCCCTCCTTGCCAATTCCAGCTTGTGGAGGAGGCCATCCGTCCTTGCCCGTCCTGCTCCATTACTCCAATCTCTGCTTACAACATCACATGGCGTTCCTTATCTCTGTGTCTCTGTTGCTGTGTCCACATTTCCCTTTTCTTATAAGGACACCAGTCATACTGGACGAAAAGCCCCCACTCCACTCCAGTATGAGTTCAGATGAACTAATTTCATCTTCAGATGTTCTGAGGTACTGGGAATTAGGACTTGAGCATACCATTTTGGAAGACCATTTAATCTGTAACAGGGACAGAGAGACAAAAGAAAAGTCATTCTGGGACAGTGGAGGTAGGCAGAAGGGTGCAGTTGAACATTTATTTTCATTCTAGGAAAGAAATTTAAGTTGCTGTTTGTTCAGAATCTTATATTCCCATGCTAATTTCAGAAACCAGACAATCTGCCTCTCATTTTTATTTTTTATGTATTTATTTTTCTTTTACTGTTAGACAAATTTGAGTTTATCTTTGCTCTTTTTACTTAGGCTTTTTCATGTCTCAGTTTTAAAAACACCCGCAAACTTCAGAAGATGTTCTAAGCTACTTAAGACCTTCTTTTTTCTAAGATATTTACCTTATTTAATTTTCAGTTCTCAGGACAGTATTTTTTTACGTTAACCAGTGTCCACTTTTTATTCATGTTTTTTGATATTTCCTTTTCTACATGTTATTACAATTGCAGTTTGCTTTATTGTTGTATCTCTTGGGTCTTAACTTCCTGTTATTTTAACTCTCTCTTTACCGTTTATATTATCCAAATCATCATTATTGTTCTAATTCCAATTTTAAATAAATTATAATAATGGTGGTAAAAGTAAGCACAATGGCATTCTATCGTGGATCATTTGACTAGCTCCTGAAAATCTAAACCATTCTTTTTTAGAAAATCCAATTTCAAGTATTAGAAGAACATGCTAAACACTAGAGTAGGAATGTGCCCTTAAACTTTGCAGGATAAACTCACCAGCCTACTTTAGCTTTAGGAGAGTTTTATACTTTCTGACCGTTCACTCTTCTTTCTTGTCCCAAAGTTCTTAAATGTTTTCAGAGAAAAAATATTTTGTGCAGTTTTATAAAATCTCAGAGAAGGCTGATAGTTCTTCTGTTTCCATTTATTTGTTAATTATGGTTTAATCTGGCAAAGACCATACTCCCCTTGAAGATGGGGATGTTTTCATGAAGGAAGCCTTGTTTTTGGTCAAAAATCCTGTGCACACATCTCTGTACGGGATGGAGGCCCCAGAAGGGGAGGGGGCATCCCTCTGCTGGAGATCCTTTTGTTTTCTAATTAGCAAAATGTAGAGAAGAATCTCAGATATTTGTAGCTCCTTATAGGAGGAACAACTTCTGCTCTAAAATGCCCATTTTTCTACCTCTGAAGGTGTATGGTTGGCTTAAGTAGAAGTGGAAAGTGCATTAATGTAGGAGAAAGTAAGACACAGGGGCGCCTGGGTGGCTCAGTCGTTAAGCGTCTGCCTTCGGCTCAGGTCATGATCCCGGGGTCCTGGGATCGAGCCCCGCATCGGGCTCCCT